TTTTTTTTTTATATCTCAGCGACTTCAGCCACACTCAACTTTGACTTCTTGGACTCCCTGTTCTCCAGTAATGGAAGTCAGTACACCTCTATGACCTCCCTCAACCAATCCGTGTCTAAGTCGTCCATGCAGAGCTATGGCGGCCGTAACAGAAAGCATGGAACCCTGCGGAAAAGGGGTTCTGTAACGGGAGTGACACCCAGATATAGAAGTCATTCGCCGGGTTCTTCACAGGATGGAGCCATTATTGATACAGTGGCTGAACATCAAGTTGTGGATAACAAAAGGATGGGTGGAATGGGCAAGAAACAATCAGATCCTCGTAAGATAATGGATGCGCTGACACCAATAAGGGAGACAACTCTAGAAGATGAACATGTCAAAATGAAGATAAAAACCTCAAACGCCTCTGTAGTCATGGCAAAGGCAGCTGCAATGAAATCGTCCAATGACAAATTCTACAAAGAGGTACTTTAATACATAATTTTTAAATCACTGAGATGTCTTTTTAGAACAAAATTAAGGTTAAAAATAAATGTTTACCATATAAGTTTATATGTTCAAATGATGAGATAAAATTTGCATGATGATCATACTATTTGTAGGCAATTTTGGCATCATATGATCTTGGGATCAGGAATTCAAATGTTATTTAAAAGAAAGGTGTTATAATCCACTTTCGTACTGTGAAGCAGAGCTAGCCCAAAATGGGGATTTTTTTTGCCATGGTTGCTTAAATATCCAGGTGAGCAATACAAGCTGCCTGGGCCTGTTGTTAACATAACAAACATTTGCCTTGTGTTCAGTCAAATTTGTTATGTTACAGTCTCACCCTGCTTGCAGAGGACCTGACTTCCGGCGTTCTTTGTTCAACATCCATGGCCAGAGTCCCCTATTGGCTCATTTCCTGCGCATGAGAAATATATCACAGGAGGGGGGTATGGTGGTACGCGTCCGTCGCACGGAGCTCGAGAATCTACCAGCATATCCTTTACCGATATATATACTTAACATTTTTTCTTTTTGGTATGTAGTACAATATATACTACATATTCTTTACTAAATTTTAGGCTGATCTCAGTGATTAATCAAATATTTTGGCTGTAATGCTGCATCATAAACTTCAAACTATTATTTAGATTGTTTTGATCATAAATTCTATATACAAAATGTATTCACATTATATAGCTGTTATCTGAACTACACATGGTAGGTATATGATGAGACTCTTAATTGGTGATGCAGCATGTTACTTTCCTTAACAGTATTTACTCTTGATGCACCAACATATAAAGAACTAATTAAAGATTCCTTTAAGAGGGTTAGAGAGATTGAAAAAGAATATGACCGGTAAGTATTATTAATTTTGTATAATACAACCTATTTAGTTATTCATATTGCTGATAACAGCTTTGAAGCATACCAGTACTCCCAAAATCAATCAGCTTGAAAATACATTATGAAGTTATCAACAAAACTGAAGTGATGATAGTTACCTTTATTTGTAGTCAGTCTGTAGTAAATCTGCCAGTCTGTTGTCAATGTGTATCCCTATATAGAAGAAACGGACCAAAAATCTGTGAAACACCATGTACAATGCCATTATCTATAAAAGGGTTAAGACACAGCTAATCAAGATATCTATATGCAACATATAATTGATATGAAGTTTGTTATATCTTTGTTAAAGCAGAGGTATAAAAATAATATGGAGAATACTGGAAGTGATAAGTGGATAATTTCAATAGAATATTTCTCAGGACTGGAAAAGTTCCAGGTACATGTATAAGAAGTCTGTAATCAGTCTGTAGGTCTGTAGTAAATAACATCACTATGCATGTAAACAAGTACATTTTCTGTACGAACTGTTCAACATTTAGATAAATTTGGACCCCATCATTATATTGCAATGTTGCTGGTGGATAAAATATATTGTTGCCAATAAGTTGATGATCTTACACAATAATTACTGGTACAGTCAAATTAGACATGCTATTCAGTAGAACATACTTTCCAACAGATTCTATGATAAGAATGTGCGGGAGAGCTTAGCCTCCACAAAGAAACACCGGGAGATGAACCAGGAGTACCAGAAGCTACAGTGCTCTCTACTGGCCAGACCCAAGGAGGTCAAACGTCTGTGTGAACTCCTAATCCTGGAACAGAATGTAAGCATATTACATTGTCTAACTAAAATATCAGCCTGTAAATTACAGTAAATGCCTGTATCCATAGGCTGTTGTTCTCCCAACCTTCTACACTGAAGTACTTACTCTTTTTGTCAACAGAAAGACCAGGACTCTGTGTCAGCTGGTGCTGATGCTGCTCTCGAGTCAGCGTTACTGGCTTGTCAGGATTGATGCGCTGATGGAGACGAGCAGGGCTACTCGTATCTGTGAAACTTACATCGGTACTATCACTGCAGTAAGGACTCTGCTGGTTGTAGACATGCTTACAACACAAACCAGTACATTTATGGTGGAAGTGTGATGATTCCATTGGAACAGATCAATCCGACATTCTTTTGGCAGGTATCCTGTGCCAAAGTGTTATACAGACCCAACTTTTATTTTGAATACAATGTAAAATGTGAATATTGTAATATACACAGGTTTGTATAGTTCACACAATGTACATCAAGACTGTTTAATGAAAGTATGTGCAAGTTGCAAATGTGTGATGACATCTGTGCCAGTCATTAATAACCTACACCTGTACTATACAGTGTTACCATTACCTTTGACTAATATTCTGTATAGCCATGTTGAAATCCATTTTCCTTTTCATGTACTACAGAACATCCTTCAAACAATTTTGTTGGTAAGAATGATCTGTTATCAAATGATCTGTGATATATTTAATAAATGTTGATTAAATCATATTAAGCATTGGATTTTCTTTTATCAGAAGTGTAGCGGAACTGGCCTGGATAGATCGTCAGCAACCAGATAGCTCAATTGGTAGAGCGTCTGTCTAGAGTTTGGATGGTCCTGGGCTCGAACCCAGTCTGGCCGTGCATTTTTCTGCTCCTATTACATTTGGTGCCTGTGACCAACTCTTGTTTCAAGTAATAGGTGAATGCTTGACAAAGGGATACCTGAATCTGGGTTGTAAATAGTTAGGTCTTCTGGGGTGACTTAGGAAAAGAAAGGAGGGATGTAGCAGAACTGGACTGTGTCAATCATCGCCGACCAGATAGCTTAATTGGTAGAGCGTCCGTCTCGAGTTCGGAGGGTCCAGGTATGGCTGTGCATTTTCCCACTCCTATTACAGAAGTATGCACTTCTCAACAAAACAATCACTATATAAAGGATTTGATAACTTGCGTGCATTTTTACCATGGTTTAGGTTTCTGTTGTAATGGCATAGCATACAGATCCACTGAAAGTCAACCTTCACCCAGATACTTAGCTTCAGTTCAAGCACAAGCACTAGCCTTGTTGGTCAAAAC